CCCCCCCGATCGCCAATGCCTTGTCTTACCAACTAGAAGTAAACTTGCTGGGACAATCGTCAAAGCCCGAAAATAGCTGACTCATGGAAAGCGAACTCGGTTCACTGATCCCATCTCCGGCCTGGTGCTTCAAAGGTATTTGTCTCATCATCCTCTTTCCAAAACTTGTGCAGGCATAGACCCCAGATAGCGGGCGCATAGGTTTAAAGGACACGCCACAGACGGCAGTCACCGAAGCACGCAACATGACCAGTCCAAAATGCGCCCGCTTTGCCCAACACAGATGAAAACTGCAAGGTCGGCAAGGACCAGCCAAAGCTGCCCACACGACATAATGCATGACCCCTGGCATGACATGATGTCTTGATGTCATTCTGGGCATGACATGATGTCATTGTGGGCATGACAGGCATGACATGATGTCATGACTGGCATGACATGGTGTCATCCCTGGGCATGACAGTCTGACATGACGTCATTCTGGGCATGACATGATGTCACCCCTGGCATGACATGATGTCATCCCTGTCATGAAGTGATGTTATGCCTGGCATGACATGATGTCGTTCTGGGCCTGACACGATGTCATCCCTGGCATGACATGATGTCATCCCTGACATGACATGCTGTCGTCCCTGGCATGCCAGGAAACGATCCCATAGGGCTGGATATCGTCCCTGCCCTGACCTGGCATGACATGATGTCTGCCAGCACAGTCCCCAAAAACAGTTGATCAGTGAAAAGCCCCGATCCAGCACCGGCACCAGCAGCACCCGCACCACCCACGCCAGCACCAGTACCAGTATGCCAAACAAAACGCCGACCTGGCACCAGCACCATCACCTGCACCAGCACCAGCACGGCAGCAGCACCCGCAAAACGAAACGCCGATCCAACACCAGCACCAGCACGGGCAAGACAAAACGCTGATCCAGCACCAGCCCAGCACCAGCACCTTAGCAGCACCCGCAAAACAAAAGCACCAGCACCAGCACCAGCACGGCAGACGAAACGCCGATCCAGCACCGGCACCAGCACCAGCACGGCAGCAGCACCTGCAAACGAAAGCGCCAGCACCAGCACCAGCACAGCAGCAGCATCTGCAAAACGAAACGCCGATCCAGCACCGGCACCAGCACGGCAGCGCACCCACAAAACGCCAGATTCAGAGCCACGCCATTGAGAAGTACGAACGCGTATAGCTTGCAGCTATCTGGGGAAAGCGCCCTCCCCACGCTCACTGCTTCCGAAAGCTCCGGCCTCGCGGGTGGCGATATGAGCGGCACTGGAGACGCCGGAGAGCACGTCCTGGTGGAGTCGGGAGCGCCATGTGGAAGACTCCGATGATTGAAACATTGAAACACCAACAGAGGTTAAGTGACCTTATAGGACACTACAGGATACCTATGGGATAGCCTATAGGGTCTTTCAACCTCTGTTGGCATTGAATGATCCAAATCCTCAACAAAATGATTTGTTCAGCCAAAGTGGAGAAATCATCTGAAAAAGATTACCGGAGAGTGTTGTGACTACTAGTCACCCTTTAAGACGTCACCTGCTACAATCCTCGTCATCCGAATAAAAACCAAACAAGCATCATATTTGAATAACACCAACATCCTGACTTCATGCAACAAACACCAAGCATGGGTGTGGATGTTGGAAGCGATGCATCCGCCCCATAGTCACACATTTTTTCGTGTTTGCCCGTGTCCAGTCGTGGCCCAGCTCCAAAACGGCCCAGCTCTGATGGGCTCCTTGACCGAGATCTCGGGGAAGTTCCGGTGCCTTACCGACTTCATGAGGTCCTCGGGGGTTTGGAAAGACGAGGTCCGGTCGAGTTTTTTTGGCGGGCAGCTTCAAATGGGCGACCGGGCAGAGACTGCCATGCCTGGAAACCACCCCGGGTTTCGAGTTCTGGAAGTTTCTCCAGTCACCACTTGTGATGCAAAGGATCTCAAGTACCGAGCTCCAGTCATTGATTTCTGCTTGGGACTGGGCTTCCAGGTCAGAGTGAACGGTTGGAGAACTTGGCACTTCTTCGAAGGAACAATCAGTTCAAGCGCCATCTGTCTCCTACATGGTCCTCAGCTGTCCGCCCAAAATCAGGGCATCCTGGTCAAAGCTGCCATCCGGGTACCAACCTCCTCATCGCACGCCTCGTGTTGGGTCCCCCTCCCGATTCGGCCACCCACTGGACCGTGTGTGGCCGGTGATCTGGCCCGGTGGTGTCACAGGGTGTTCCGAACATGGAGTTATGATGGTTTTGCTTGAGGCCCTTTACACGGACCCTGTATAACCGGCCGGGCCTTTTGGCGTGAGTACGTTTGTTCCCGGGCCAACCGGTGGGTGGGCGCACGGCGATTCTTCAGATCTGGTGAAGGAACATGAACAGAGGCACCCGAACGAAGCCCTTGTCTTACGGGAGCGAGCACTGGAGTTACAGTAAACCATGGATTCCTTGGGGCCAACTGGTTCCAGGAGACAGCTCGATATCACAAAGCTCCTCGTGGACATCGTGAGTGTCAGGGCTCGTGTTCGGGAAAACAAACGGCCCAGCCAAGTAGAGCTCTACCCCTAAACGTCCAAAGCGCCCAAGACCATGTTCCTTCCTTGGACTCCTCAAGACCACGGCGGCCAGCTCTCAGCTTAGGCTCTACTTCTCGGTTCCAAGTGCTCTGTGCATGGCGGACGAGAAACACGTACCTGGCGCAGCACGGCACCAGCGCCGCGCCGTTCGCGAACCGGCGAACGGTGCGCAGCCTCGGCCTCGGTCGGGTTGGGCGCGTCGGAGCGGAGCGGAGACGCGTCTGGATGCGGCGTAAGAAGCCTTAACTACTCAGAACGCCCAGCCCCTGACAGTTCCATTCCATCTGACAGACTCCACCTCCCACTCCAGACCGGTCGTTCCGGGCACTTCTCTTTGCTGGTCTCCACTGGGGCCCACTCCCTCGCCTGGGTGCATCCGAATGCGAGGGAGGCATGGGAGGCATATGGAGGCATGGAATGAACAAAGAGAGGGTCCAACGGAAGCTTGGAACACCAAGCACAGAAGTAGCACTTTCAATTATGTTGCGGATTGTTGAGGGTCAGATAAGACATTTCGGTCGGGTAGTGTGAGGCCATGGTCTCTTCAGCTTCAGACCTTCAGGAAGTCATAAGAAGAGCGACAATCTATGTTTGGTCACTAAGCAAATACTGTAATTATGGGTAAAGTATGCTTTTGGTGGGCGGCCAGTGAAGCTCCCATCCCTGGCCGATCTCGCCCCCAAACACATGACGTACTCACCCGATCAACTCGCCTGAACAGCACAGCCTGACCAGCGCATCTGGCAGCAGCGTTCTGGCTCGCAAGGCACGCCTTAGTCGCAGGGGAGGGTTGCAGAAATATCAGTTCATCACGGGGCGATGAAAAAGAAAACGAGAAGAAACCGCGGGAAAACGCAGCAATATATATATATATATATTGTCCTTCAACGGGTGTTTGGGAGCAGATTTCGTTGCTTTGAAGCATGCGATTTTTCAGAATCGATCTGTACCTCAATTGATGGATGTAGTCTTAACCATGCCTGATGGAAAAATAACTAAAGTCACTAGTTTCGAGTCAATCTCTGGATGCTTTTCCACTTCAGGCCTATCTTCCCTTGCTTGAAATTAAACATCCATCAAGTTTGCCTTTCACAATCTTCGCACAAATCATTTGAGGTTCTCTGCTTAGTCTACGGCTTTGGCCCAGAATTCTTCGATTGTTTTGTTGCCCCGACCTGCACATCCTCAGATCTTCAAAGAATGGAACCCCCCACGAAACAAACCAAGCAAGAATTATAGACTTCGTCGCAGATACACCAAAATGTGGCCCTTGGAATCCTGAACAACTGCTGAATCGTTCTCTTGCCGGGATGTTGGATGTGAACCAGGGCCAGCGAAGCATGCCAGTTCCGGTGGACAAGTCTTGAGTCTAAGTGAGTCTAAGTGTGTGTGTGTGTGTGTGTGTGTCAAGCCCTGCCTCTAAGGGTAACCAACAGGCCTTTGATTTTTGCTGCGTTACTTCGAACACCCTTTTAAAACATGTTGTACAGATAAAATTCAACGGGGGGACTGCCTGACTCTTAACAGCAGCAGTCCAACGAAGAGGCTGCTTTGAGTCACTGATATGGATTCTGGGCGCAGAATAAACAATCTTGTTGCGGACTTCTCCACCTTGCGGTATGTACAGGGCCATGTCCACAGGTGATTTTGCCAGGTCGTCTAATGCAGTATTGTAGAGAGCTAGTGCATTGGGAACTCATTAACTGATCGAATGCTCATGCGTATGAGCTTTACACCTGGGTGTGTATGTGTGCGTGCCACTAGCGCAGGAGTTACTTCCGTGCATCCATTCCACCGTTCAAATACGCCGACGCAAAGACGTAAACTTCGGGCTTATGACATAGGAACATGCAGGAATTTCCTTGAATCTTCTGTGGAATCGGATTCTCCACGTACTTGGGAAGCAACCAGCGGGTGCCGCCGCACCGTCGAGCAGAGCGAATCTTCGGTGGTTTTTCGCCTGAAGAATGACCTTGCATTTGTGCTTTGGACACGCCACAAGTTCTGAGCTGAAAAGTGAGCTCGGAGAGAATCTGAAAAGGCCACTTTCGCTCATGAGAATCTGACCCTCCTGGACTTTGTCAATGCATGGTGGGGAGTTGAAAGATCTGTCAAAGTGTCCCTGGCTCAAAAAGAGGGTCATGCCAAACCCACCTGGTCGGCACAATCGACGCAAACCTCCCCTCATGGTCACTGCACAAGGACACAGAGCCTCTTCCGTGCACTACCCCATGCGATGCCAAGGATGTGATCAATCTACATTGTTATACATCAGTTGCATCTTCTACTTGTCCCCCCCTCTTACAGAGATCACCTGTCACACGTCCGATGGGTTCAAGAACACAGATCCCACAACCGCCACAACCGCGAGCCTGGGCCATCGCCCACTCCGCGGTCGCCGCACCAAATTCACCCAACGAGGGGCTAAGTACTTCACCAAACTCACTCCCTCGCATCCTGCCTGGTCGTTCGGTCGAGGCCGAACCGCCGCACGGTCCGTCACGCGGGAGGCCGAACACCGGATCAAACGCTTCGGCCAGGGTCAAGTGCCATTTCTGTGGTGTTGGATACCTGGACTGTGCCTGAGCAGGACAGTTCGAACACAAGGGAAGGGCAGTCCCCAAAAGAACACTGAAACGAATTCTGATACAAATGTCAATCAGCTTTAGCCTTTAGAAAAAACAAAGGATCAAGTGAACGGTCACGAGCTCGGAGGAACCAGGACCAAATCCACTCACTTTTGGCTCTGAAACGGTCTTGTGGAGCTCCATCACTGTTTATAGGACCCAAATGGACCAAGTGTTCTTTGGTCCCGTCCTCTCCTCTCACTTCTCTGACACAAAGAAGTAAAAGTCTCTGATGAGAAAGCGAAAAAATAACTATAGAAAGAAAATGGTTGAAGGATTTTGAAGGGGTGATTTGTAGATGACTGTTTGATCTTCAAGGCTTGGGGGCCTTTCTCCTTCAAGTTCCTGGCGAAGTCTTACCAAAAATATTGGCCCGGAGCAAGCTGGGCAGCGCTCCAAAAAAGAACTTCTTTGGTGACATTTGGCTTTCTTGAAAGCCACCTGCACAACAGAATATGCTGGCAACCTCGTCCATTCTTCCAAAAAAAACACGCAAGAAGGATCAAAACGGTGTGACATAGACCGCCTCTCGCAGCTGCGGTGGGAGCAACGTCCACCCCGCCAGGCGTGGCCAGGAAGGCGCAGCCCGGGGGGGGCGGTGTGAGTCTTTGAGCCGAGGCGCGACGGGAGCGAAAGCCGGAGCGGTCCGGGCTCGGCTCGGCTGGGATGAAGACCCATGATTCACATGGTGGGAACGCCACAACTGTCACCCGCTTTCGGCCGGTACCGAATTCCATCACCGATCTCGAAAAGAGTGCAAGCAATGCTGCGCCCATCTGTCTGTAGCTTCTATGTTCTTCCGCTTTCCAAAGAAAACCGCTGGCCGAAGACGCAGTTTTTCCTGAAAGCTGGCTCACCAAAGCACGCGGCACGGGACTCGCCCGGAACCCACAGGAGCCAGATCAGCTGGGGTCTTTTGTCTCCTCTGAGAATTGGGCTTGATCGGATGAAAAGAATTGGGCGGTGGAAGGGGCTCAAGCTGGTTTTTTCGGAGAACCACCAAGTTTGAGGCGACGAGCTGGTGACCGTAGGCTACTGTAAGTCATCATACTACTGTAAGGTCACTGTAAGGACCTTCCTTCCTATAGGCTCATCATAACTCTAAGAAACTTGCCGAGCAAACCCATCCTAACACTTCCCCAAAGTGGGATGTGGACTTGGAAAATCAGTCACCCGTCACCCTGCCAGTTCCCCTCAGTCGTCTGAACCCACGATGAAACACCGCGTTCGACGTCGCACAGCGCCTCGTGGGTTGGGCCGCCATTCTCGCACTCGCCACCGCCAGGCATTGGCGCCGCACCTAGGGGGCAAGGGGACCGCTGACCGCACCGCGGGGCCGCGCCGCGGGGCCGCGCCGCGGGGCCGCGCCGCGGGGCCGCCGCGCCGTGGTAGAGCCTTCGTGGCCAACTGGAAGAACCCTGCTTTGGGGTGCTCCTCTTTCGCTGGTGGGAGGAAGCAGAAGAGAAAAATGACACACCGACAACGGGCGGATAAATGTGTTGGGCCTGCTCACCCGGAGGTTCAGGAACTTCTGGCCGTTGGAAAAAACACTCTGAAGGAGGGATTCTCGCCGATTCCGTGCCATCCAGTGCGAGTCAAGTTCCATCAAGATCAAAAAGTCTTCAAAAAGCCACAAAACCATGTTAAGATGCTTCTCATTCAAATTCCTTTGAGTCATGAACCGACTTGCTTCTTGAATAAAACCCATCGCACCCCTCCAGAACCCCTAGAGGTTGGACCGACCATGGTCGGGTTGGCACAAAAACATCCTCTTCTCATGAGGCTGGGCTGGGCATGTCCAAACCCCTGGCAGGCGACAAGTGTTGGCATATCCAACTGGCCCACTGGGGCCAAGAAAACCCCAAACAAAAATCATACCAAAACTCAAGGTGTTTGGGGTCTTGAATGATAAATGATATATAAATGATAAGAACAAACCAAAACCTCATTAATGGTTTTGTTTTTGACACAATCCTCTTTTAATAATAACCCCTCGGCCACCACGCTTGTGCGCGACTTGCGGGAGCTCTTCTGGTGAGAGTTCCTGGCGGCTCTTCTTGCGGCAGCTCCAGAAACCTATTGGCCATATTGCTGCGTGCATATTCAGTATTCAAGTTCGATTGTCGAAAAAAGTATATATACATATTATATATACCAGAGTATGATAACACATAGTGTCTTAAACTTCTTGTTGCAAAAAAAGACTGTTGTGTCTTCTTTGGGATTCTAGCTGAGCATTTGCTCAGGATTCACTGCACCGAGCCGCATCGATTCCCTCTGACCGAGGGTTGAACCGGGTCAAAAACAAAAAAGCACAACAACGCCTGACATCGTTCCGACGTCTGACATCGTTACGACCCACAAAACGACCAGAACTGCAATGGAGTTGAAGTGAGTCGTATCCCCAACTCGACCTCTTCAGAGGTGCTTGTTCATCCATGCCTGGGTCTTCTCGTCATCACGAGTCCACTTGTGTCAACATGACCGTGACGCGTGACGCCAGGAGCTTGACGCGTGGCGCGTGACCGCCGGAACTGCGAATGCTGTGGCTCCAAGTTCGGTGTCATCGTCGAATCCAGGGGCTCCCGAGTTCGAAGGTTTCAGACCCAGGGGACCCGAACTGGTGGGGGGGCGGCCTTTTTCTCAAAGTGGATCGAAGAACCTCGGCCTTCACATCGGCAAAACATCGGATCACATCGGATGATGCATGAGTTCTCCAAAAGGATGACATCACATTGGTCTCCGCGCAAGCGGATGACATGCATGATCCTCTGTCGAAGACACCACCGAGTCCGGACACCCGAAGTCCCGACCTCCCCGTCGATTCGGCTCATGTCGATGCGCTCCACCGACCGCTCCTGGCGAGACCGAGGAGATCGGGCCATCGGATTCGTTGGCCACCATGTGTTGAGCCGGAAAGGTCCCCAAACAACCGGAAAAGCCTTCTACTCAGGATTTTACAGGACAAAAACTAGACAAAACATGACAAAACGATGTTTGAGGCCTTTGAAGGCAGTTGGACCATCCATCCATCTGAATACATCCACTTTGAAGGCGATGGGAGCACCCAGGGCGATGGGAGGGTGCCCCACGTCAACATGGCACCATCTGTCCAAACACCAGTTTCTCATGTGGCAAAGTTGACCGTGCCTCAGTTACACGAAAAACCTAAGCCTGAAAAACCTCATGATCTCCCCGTTTCTCCTCTGCCCCTGGTCTACAAAGCGAAATCCCAAGGTTCAAATATCGATTTACGGAGGTGCAACAACCATCGAGTGCTTTTGGGGAGTCGAACAAATGCTTGACGCGGACGGAAGAGGTTCGGCAGCGGACTTCTGCTGGCGACACCGGTCTGGAGTCCCAACCCTGGTAGGTCAACCAGATTCAACCAGGGTGATCGCCACTGCCATCTTGATGGGGTGATGCGAAGCAGGTGCTTCTCACCAAAGCAGGTGAGCCTTTGGAAGACAAAGCCATGGACAGTCAAGCTTGCACCCCTGTTTCCCCAAGATTCCTCGAAGAACACACAAACACATACACCACCTGAGGGGGAGGTTCATAGAAGTGCATGAACTAAAGATTGCCCTCGTTGACCACACTCTTAGCCTCCATCTATCTCCATCCATCTCCATCTCCATCCCCACCCACTCCACTCCATGGTATTCCACCACATCTCCTCACCGCCCACGCCAACGAGTGGCTTCATCACCGCCAACTGGCACGTCTCCACCGGTGGAGTTGGGGGACCCTGTCAGAAACACCCAGCGAGAAATCGCGAGAAATCGCGCGACCACCTGGTGGTCGCCATACAAAAAGAGATCCCACCAAAAGTCCAGAAAAATACATAAATAAATAAATAGAAGATTGCCCCATTTCGGGTGAAATAAGAGATCCTTGAACCCTTCGTCGAGATCTAGCCCGCTTCGGCCATGCTCTTGAAGACATGAAGAATTGGAATTCACCATGGTAACCAGACTTTATCTTACCTAGTGTGGCAGTTCACAATGATCAACCACGTGTTGATCCTGTTTACCCGAGCGGCAGCACCTATTTTCAGACTGGCTAAATACACGGTTCCGAAGGGTTTGGATGCGGCTTCCACCAATCTGTTTTCCTCCCTCAACCGGCACACACAAATGGAAAAACGCGGTCTTCGGAAAACAGTCTTTTGCGATCCTCTGTTGGACGGTTTTGTTTTTTTTCATTGGACGGGTTTTTTCCACGTCAGTGGCGGGAGGGAAGGAAATGAGGCGTTGATCTTCCGGTCCTTCTACACACTTCAGGACGCCCCAAATTTGAAATGCTGCCCGTGTACAAAATATATAGGTTGGCTGCATCGCCAGTCCAGAAAGAGTAGCGCACATTCCCCACAGAGCAATGCAGGATCAAACTGGTGATGCTCCGAGCTGGTTCTGGCAATGAAAAACGGAACCAAAACATTGGTCCATTGTGACAAGGATCTGTTGCACACCAAGTCTTTGAATCGGTAATCCATTTCCAGCCCTTAAACCACCCCAGTTGCTTTCGACCTGCGGCACGTGTTGCTTTGGTTAAAAAAATTGTGCAAGCTCGAGCGGCTGGACGGCCACAGTGTTGCAAACGAAAGTTGCACTGTGGCGAAGTTTGAGTTGATTAAAATGAAAGCGGGATGTTCAAAATTGGATCAAAATTGGGCTACCCCAAAGCACCCTGCACACATATATGTATACATTGAAAAATGCACACAAACAAACAAACAAACA